CTGAAGAACAAAAGGACAGCAACTTGTCTGTTCCCCTTCCCCCAATTCCCCAGCGCTGTTCCCATCCCCCCAACCCCCCAATAAAAATCTTTAAAAAAAAATTCAATCCATTTCCAGGAGGAACACAACTATTCCTGTGTCCAAGTCCTGGAGAAACTCCTCTTCTGGGTCGTCATAAAGAAAGCATGGTCGGCTATAGTAATCAGTATTCTAAACTATAATCTTATAAGTAAATACATCAAGCTTCATACAATGGTGTCTTACAGCATGCCTTAATAGACACGGCTGGTATAATGCCAAAACCTATGTAGCACTGTATCGCCTTGCTATTCAAAGCATCGTCCCTGAACCAGCAGCATCAGCATCACCTGGGAACCTGTTAGAAATGCAGAATCTTGGGCCCAATTCCAGGCCTGCTGATCAGAATCTGTATTTTATTAAAAAGATCTGCAGGAGAGTCCTATGAACATTAATAAAGTTTAACAGGCACTGGTCTAATGGTTAAGCTTGATCTGAGGCAAAATTTGTGAGAAATTAGTATTCATTTATTCATTCATTCAACGAATATTTACTGAGACCTTGGCGGTAGAATTTTTTAAACATGACACCAAATGCACCACCATTAAGGAAAATATTGACAAATGGGACACCACTTAAACTGAGTGATAAATCTAGCCATAGAGTAGACACTATTTGCAACAACACTCAAAAAAGGAAAGTTGAGTACCTAAATATGTACAGGGCACCATCTTAATGCTGGCAATACAGCAATGCAACAAAAACTCTACTCTTACGGAGCTTAACATTCTAATTGGAGGAGACATCAATAAAACAAGTAAAATGAAGCAAGAAAGGGGCATAAGTCAGGGGATGGCATTGCAGTTTTAAATAGGGTGGACTGGGAAGGCCTCACTGAGAAGGTAATAACCTGTACAAGGTCAGAAAGCCAACATATAAAAATAGCTAGGGGAAGAGTATTCTAAGCAGAGGGAACAACCTGAGACAGTAAATGCCTGAAACAGCAGGAAGGCTTGTGTGGTTGAAGCAGAGTGAGCAGGGGTGGAGTAGGTATGCAGGGGTCCAGACCATGTGGGGCCTGTCGGCCATTTTAAGTGTCACAGCTCTAACTATGAATGAGATGAGAAGCCAGGAAAACAGGTAATAGGGAGCCACTGAAGGCTGTTCAGCAGGAAAATGACATAATGAAAAGTGCTTTTAAGAAGACTGGTTTCTCAGAGGCACATGGAATGGTTTTGAGTGAGAGAATCCAGCTCACAGTATATCATACTAATCCCAGTAAATGGTGACTCATTCATTCAACTATTAGGTGCCAAAGATGTGTGGGGGAGTATCTAGACCAGGGGTCGGCAAACTTTTGAGCTGGAAGAGCCAATCCTGTCCCTCACAACAATTTGAAAATTATTCGAGAACCACAAATATATGTTTATATAATCACCATTATGGGAATAATATCCTTTAAAAATTTTATAAATGAACTATGATAGTTTTGTTTTCATTTCCAATTTTACTTCAGAGCCACATGTACGTACCCAAAGAGCCGCATGTGGCTCACAAGCTGCAGTTTGCCAACCCTGATCTAGACTGTGGTGATAAATAAGGAAACTGTCAGAGAAAAATTACTATATATGACATTGGAGAGAAAGAAACCCAGAACACAAGGACAGATCATTTATAGAGAAATGAGAGAAGTTTGAAATTCAATTTAATCAAGGTTTATGGATCATCTACTGATAAGACTTGCATTTTGTGCATAAGAATTGTATTTTCCCCTCAAAGGGCTTCCAGCCTGGCATGCCTTTCACCTCCATTTCAAGCCTGAGCTTCATAAATTGCTGCAACTGAGGCTGACCCTCCGGCTAGCTGATTTGCTCAGGTTAAGGGCTGGTTTTGTTCTGTTTTGTTTTGAACCCTCAGAGATTGTTCTGTCTCTGGAGCAGGGAACAACGCATCTCAACTTGGTTATTATAAAAAGACAGATCTCGTTTGGCAGAAGGGCAGAAGAGATGTCCTAATAAACAGCTTGGTGGATCAGCCTTGCAGATTGGTCCTGGGACCCCCGTTTTGGGGCAGGGAGTCCTTCTGGTCTGTTTCCACCTTTGTGACCTAATGAATCTCCCACTCTTTGTCATTCCATTCTGGAGAAAAGGCCCCAGGCCCCAAGGCATGGAAAGGGAATGAAGAAAGTTTAAGGAAAACAACAGGGGGGGGGAAACTAATTTGAAAATTGCCTACTGCCAGACTGCAAGGTCTGAGGAGTAGATGCAAATATAATGCAAATTATATGTAAATAGCCCTGTGGCCCTCTAAAAGGTTTTTATAAAGCTGCAAGAGCCCTTGGGAAACTGCTAGCAGTTAACAGTGACTCAGAGGCAGAGTGAACTATTTCAAGACAACTTTGTCACACACACCTTTGCTGCCCTGCTAGCACAGTGCAGTCTTCAGTCATCTTTTTCCTCATTGGATCAACCTCACCTGGTATTAAAAAAAAAATCAACTCTGCCTCTGTAGAGGTTATCTAAGTTAATTACATGTTTAAAACACTGTGTACCTTTAATTTTTCCTCAAACACTTCTCTCACCCAAATAAACCGAAATTAAATGTGTCACTTCCTCCCCAGAACAATATTTCGCTCCAATGGGTTATGAATGAAAGAGCCTCTCTTTCAGTTCTAGTTACTATGATCCTTTAGGGGATTTTTTTTCCTATCCACAGGAACTAGCACATTCTCTTCTAATATCCACATGCTGTATTCAAAGTGAATCTAACAAAAACCAAAACAAAACCCTATATACAGGTGTGAGATCCAGTTCACTTCAAGAAGTCACTGGAAAACTATTCATTGATAAAACCTGCCCTGTCCAGTATGCTGTCGTCTTGACAATCCTAAATGCACATTTTAAAATGAAAAATGCACATTCGATTACAACAGGGTACAATTCTCTCTACATTTACATATTTAACAGAGGCCACCTCCATCAGATATGCATTTTATAAGAGCCACGAGATGAACTGAATGGTAAGCACATCAGACCTACAGCTGGACAGTTATTCTGGGTTACAGACCTGGGTGGGGAGGTAGAAGACGCTATTTACCTCCACATTAATGATGGAAACAATGATGGTATAATCAGCCCCCAAAACTTCCATCACTTTTCTAATAGTACTCTAACATTCAAGTGTGCTTCAGCTTTTGACAGGGGGTTCAAAGGAAGAAATCCCTTTCATTTTCGAGGTTTTTAAAAATCTCACTTGAAAGGGCCTCCAGAAAGCTATTGGGCAATGAAGCATATGGGGAGGTGGCACGTTCAGTGGAAAAAAAGAACAAAGCGCAAAAACGCAGAATCCCAACAAATGAGAGACTCAAAAAGAGGAGGGAAGATAGACAAAAGCAGGAGCTCAACCTCAAGAGAGTGAAGAAATGACAGCGCTAAAGAGTTAACAAAGAGTGATAGACGGAGAATGGCCCGGGAGCACTGAAGCCAGAGCCCGGAGTCCAGGGGAGGGCGGCGGGCAGGGCCTGGCAGGCAGCGAGCGCCCCCTGGCGGTCGGGGCTATCTCTTACCTCCTGGGCGAGTTTCTGCTTGAGCACCAACGCGGCGCACAGGTAGCCAGCTCGACCCACGAAGAGCTCGTCGGAACCGCACTCCAAGAAGGAGACCGGCACGCAGACGGCGCACAGAGCCCGGAACTTGCCCAGCGGCTGCACGTAGTCGGACCGGCCCAGGGCGTGGTACACGAGCGTGGCCACAGCGTACACGCCCGCGCCCCCGAGCAGGAAAGCGGCGCGGGTATCGGCGTCCGGCTCGCCCCATTCCTCCGCGCGAGCGCACGCGTCTATGAGGCGCTTGGCTGACCGCAGGTAGCGCTCCCGGGCCGCAGCAAAGAGCGGGCTCTGCGAGACGTGGTAGAGCATGTAGGCCACCCCGGCCACTCCGCCGTACAGCCCTCCCTGGCAGCTGCTGGCCGCGGCCGCCGCCCCCCGGGTCTCAGCGCCACCCCCGAGCGGGGGCAGCTCCTGGAGGATGCGCTCGATGGTGGCGGTGACCAAAGGCGCCACCGCTTCCTCGCACTGGCCCGCCAGCAGGCTGCCCTGGTAGTCATCGAAGCGGTTGGCGAAGCATCGTTTGGTGTCCATGCCGCTGCCCGTGCCCCGTAAGGCGGAGCCGGGGTCCGCTTGAGGGCGCGCTCTGAAGCCCCACGCACCACCTCTCGCTCTCTGAGGCGCTCGGATGGCTGTGGATTCGGCCGGGATGGAGCAGGGAGGCTGAGACGGGAGGTGACAAGAGGAGGCGGGCGCGAGAAGCAGGGAGCGGATTGCCAAGTGGGCCACAAGGCTGCCGCGAGGCTCCTGAGTGACCCCAGCAAACGCTGGGGAGGTGCGTCGCCGCCCCACTCCCAGAGGCCGCACCCTCGCCGAACTGGCCCCCTCATGCGCCGCCGCAGCTCCGCCGCCTCTTTAAGGGGCCGAGGTGATCTCTGGCAGGACACTCGGCGCCCGCGCCACTCCTCCCGCTCCGCCCCCAGCTCCTCCCCTCCCGGCTGGAGGCCAGGGACGCGAGGGACTCCGAACCGGAACGCTGAGTCTGGGCGTTAGCACACCTGGTGGGGGAGGTGAAGACCTCGAGTCCCTTGTATATTCAAAGTGAGGTCCGCGAGTCAGCAGATCAGCATCACCTGGGAGCATGTTAAAACTGCAGCATCTCAGACTTCGCCTCAGACCTATTGAAACCAAATCACCATATTTAGCAACCTTCCTAGGTGATTCATATGCATATTAAAGGCTGGGAAGCCACTGAACTAATCTAGAGTACTAGGGGAAAACTGAGCGCCCTCCTGAAACTTGTTTTTCTTCTTGGTCACTTCGGACATCTCATTCTGATATGCCTGGATCCCACAGGCTGAGGGGTTTGAGTGCATCACGTTTCATGCATTAAAACAATGAAATTCCCCGTAGGGAGACTTTCTTGGCCTTGGTTGTCGTGACGTTTTCCTTGGAGTATACAGAAGTAAAAATTCAAAGAACCACACTAAGTTAAGGTAAAAGAGCGGGAGTTGTCTTTCTCCTAGAGACACCCACCCCCCATGCATAATAAGAGCCCAATAAATATCTTGAGGTCATTAACTATAATATAAGGGTAAACGCTGCATGAGAATTTTAGGTAGGCTTTTTTTTTTACCCTTTTCTGCGTGTCCTCAGTTACCTCTTTCCCTTCCTTCCCATGTGTCTTCCTTCTGCTTTCCTTCTGCAGATGTTATTGAGGGTCTGCTATGTGTCCTGGACTCTAGAAATAGAGGGAGAAACAAAAGAGACATGGTCCTAGACTTTTCGAAGCTTGCAGTCCAGTTGGAAAGGCAGCAAGTGAACAATTAATTACACAATGAGTGGCCTTTCTTTTGCTCAGCTATTTTCAAATAATTCTTCCGTTCCCAAAGTGTTGACCAGTGAAGGCCAAAGAGGTCACCTCTCCCGGGGTATTTGCATTTTGATAGGGACTGTGCAAGACACAAAAGAGTAAGTGACTCATGGAAAAGTTCTGACACTTTGTGGGAAGAGCAACTGCTCCACTTACTTGAAAGGACAGTTTTGTTTGGAGGCATTTTTTTTTCCTTCGGAAGTGTTCATTGTCACAATGATTTGGAGGCAGAGATTAAACAGCCTGCCCCTCTGTCCTTGCTTGATGCATTCTGGAAAAGGAGCTCACTTTGCAAAGATGACTGCCAGGACTGACAGCCACCTAGTGGATGATATGGCCCCCATCCTCCTATAACACTGCCAAAACAGGTTTATTTATTTATTTATTTATTTACTTACTTACTTACTTATTTAAAGATTTTTATGCGGAATTGGGGGAAGGGGAACAGACCAGTTGCTATCCTTTTGTTCCTCAGTCTAGTTGTGGAGGTCTTTGCTTCACTGGCCCAAGTTGGCACCATCATTGCGCTCCTCCCCGGGGCGAGGCAGACCAGTCGCCGGTTTCTGGACGGCCGCTCACTGCGGCTGCTGGCCGCTCATGCTGGCTGCTGGCTACACACGGTAGCCCATGGCAACCCACTGCAGTAGGGGCTGCAGCCTTCGCAGTCGCCAGGGACTCACAGCAGCCCAGTTCCCGGTTGAGCTGTTGTTCAGCATCCTAGCTATAGAGGGCAGTGTTACTGGCCCTCACATGTGGGATCCGAACCGGGGCCCTCTGGCATCCCAAGCCAGCTCTTAACCATCGCGCCACTTGGCCAGCCCAACAGGTTTATTTTATTATTTTTTTTTTTTTAGCTGAGCCATCCTGCTACCTGTTGGCAGCTCAGCGGCTGCTCAGCTTGGGCTGGACTCGAACCGCTGTTGCTCAGAGCTCAAACTCTTGAGCGAGCTCTTAACCAACTGAGCCACTTGGCCGGCCCTCCAATAGGTTTATTTTTAACAATAATAATAAGCTAAGTCCACAATTAGGCAGGGCGCTTGATGGGTTAAGGGTATCAAAAGAGCCACTAGAATGTTTACTTTTGTTACAGGCCAACCGAGTGCCCCCTCCCTCCAAAGACTTAAGTGTTCATTCCTATAGAAATGTGAAGTCTCCTCCATAGTTTCTTAGCCCCTGTCTTTGATTACTCTTCTCATCAGTCTGTGAATCCTAAGCTAAATATTGCTCCTAGACTGAATCCTAGAATTCTCCTATCCCCCTGCTTCTTGATTGCTTTGTAAATCAGTTTCTGAATCCTAAAAAATAGAAGTCTCCTGCTCCTGCTTCAGATAACTACTTGAAATACTGTGACTTCCTAATATCCCCTAGGCCAGTAAGCTAAATGCCAAACCCATTTTGGGCCCAGACAACTGACACCACCTGAGTGACGGGCTGAATGGCCACAGGCTTCATGAGAGCTAACAGATTTATTAATTAAAATCTATTTTCCTCATTCAGGGGCCTTGGGGATACAGAAGACACCCCAACAAGATTGCCAGTCACAACCAAAGAAGCCAACACGGTCTTCCAGGCGGAGCTCGAGACCCCTTCCTCTCGTCTGAGATCAGCTAGGGTGAGAGTTCTGTGAATCCCCCAATAGGCAGGGACAGCTCTATGACCCTGCCCAGCAGGAAGCAGATACAGAAGAAGAGACCTGTCCCTCAGCTTCCCATAGAGATTTTATGGGGATCACGTCTCTCAAAGGGAAAACTAGGCTGGCAGTTAGAGGCAGGCATTGGGTCTCTGCATTCCTGCACATCCCACAGAATGCAACTGCCAAGGGGACATGCCCTCTCCACCCAGAACTCCCCTTTGTATTGTAATTACCTACTCTTAGAATAGGTAATTGTTTTCCCTGAGGGAAAACAAATGGGTACAAAATACCCAACTAAATGAGACCAGTCACTCGCACCTGCGCAGTACCTCTTGTCAATCACAGGTGCCAATCATGTGGTCCCACATCTTTAGGGAAACAGCCCATTCTAAAGAAGGGATAAAAACCCCAAGTCCTGGGAAGTCCATTCCTTTTTTCCCTTTTTCCCTTTTTGGACACCTGCTCTTTTTACCGCTTATTCCTTATTCCTTTTTGAGCCCTTTGAGCCTCGCCTTTGTGCATGGCCCGCTCCAAACTCTTTGGAATGTAATTTCTCTTCTAATAATGGGCTCTTGAGCCATTCTCTACTGCTCAGGCCTACTTCTACTCTACTGCTCAGGCCTACTTCTACTACTATCTCTTCGAATAAACTACTTTTTCAGTACTGTACTCCGGCATCTAGTTCAATTCTTTGCCTGAGTTGCCAAGGACCTGGACTATGCGCAGCCGAGAAGGGCCCACTTTCCAACAACACTTTCTGTTTGGGCCTTCTCCTTCATTCCTCAACCATAGCAGGCATTGAGAATAACTTTTGTCCCTTCACACAGGAGACATCACATGCAACCCTTCACAGGCAGAAATGAAGCCTTATTCCACTTCACTTCTCTACATCTCACCCTTGTCATGAATCTAGAGACAACTGTTAATTTTGACTCTGATTAGCCTTCCCCACAGCCCAGCACCTAGGTAGCGCCAGCAGCAGTGATGGACCTGTGCTGACTGGCTTCAAAATGAAACTGTAAGCAGGTCTCCAAAAGAAGGAGCTCTGCCTTTTCCCCGTTGGGTCACCCTTCTGTTGCCCCCCAATGCTGCATAATTAGCAAGCACAAAATCTTGTAGCATATAACAATAAGTTTATTGCTCATGCATCTGGGACCTTGGCTGGGCTCCTTCCTCTGTCTGGGGGTGGGCTGGCTGTTGCTGAGGGAGATTGGGATGACTACGCTCTAGTCCACATGTCTCTCATCCTCCAGCAGGCCAACGTCAGCATGCTTGCATGGCAATGGCAGAGGAGCAAGAGCATAAGCAGAAACATGCTAGGCTTCTTTAGGTCTGGTCTCAGAACTGACACACTCTTGTCTGCCCTGTTCCATTGGCAAATCACATGAGGAAATGTAAAGTGTCTCTATGGAACTCCAAGTTACATGACAAAGCGTATGGATACAGGGTGGGGTGAAATATTGGGGGTTTTAGGGGTTGCTTTTGGACAGTGATGCCAACAAGTAGAGCAAAGGTCATAAGATGGATGTGAAACAGCATGATTTGGGAGAAGCAAAGAGATTAGCCATCTCCAGAAGCCTCTTAAACTCACAGGACAAATTAACCTTTTCACCTATAAAATTCTTTCCTGAAGACCTCACCACTTTGTCTGTGGCACAATCAATCACCTGGCAAAACTTCAGCCCAGAATATACTTCAGAATATGAATAAATGTAGTATTATTTAGACCACATGAGGCCTCACCTCTAATTGTCATTTACTTAATTCACAAGCAGTGTTATTTATTTTAATGTCATGACTTCACTAGAATACACTCTCCATGAAGGTAGGGCTTTCTTTTACATTTATTTACTGATATACGAGTATGCCAAGAGCCTAGAATAGTCCCTGGCACATGTAGTCGGCACTCACTAAAAGTCTGTGAAATGATGAATGAATTCCCATAATAGCACCATTAACAATGTGCCCTGTAGTGTAGAATGCAGAGTGAGGCCTTTATTGAAATTTTAACTTGGCTTGATTAAACTCCCTCTGTTTTCTTGGATCCTTTTGCTCTTGGGAATGCAAGAATGTGAACATTCTTCAGTTTCTGCCTCCTTACTTCGTTTCTCCACAAAGTCTGGTGACCTCTGTACTTTACCTTGAATTCAGTGACTTCACACATTCTATTTTTAATAACTAACTCTGTGTAGCCGATTATATTTTCCAAATATGGCCCAAATAATGTCTTCTATGCTACATGCTCCTCTACAATGTGACCTTGACATTCCTCTCATCACGAAGTAAGGCGTATGCTCCCTCCCCTTGAATCTGAGTGGGCTTATGGCTCACTTGGAACCAACGCAATGTGATGGAAATGACACTGCATGACATCCTAGCCTAGCTCAT